TCTCTGATTCACCTGTCTTCAGGCAACCCACACTGCCAGAAGCAGTTCAGTTTTTCCAGGGTGGAGGAGTGAGAAGCAGCTAGAACCTGGCTGCAGATAACAACATCGTGCAAGAACTAGGTTAACTGGCAGTTTCTTGCTCCCCTGTCTCAGGGGAACAGTGTTGCTGCTGACTAATATATTTTACCTAACACTTCATGACTGCCTTTAAACTTTTGCAGAAAGCATCCTTTGAGCAAGCCTGAGACAGCAACTAGAGTGCTTTCTTTGGAGAAGGAGAAAAAGAGCTTGACCTGTAGGGAACTAGAGCCTCCGCATGGATACCCACGCTGCCCAGTCTGTGCAGCGCGGAGGGGCAGGGGATGGCACAGCGAGAAGGGTTGTGCCTGCTGGCCTCTGCCTCTCAGGAAACACAGGAAGAGAATACAAAGGGCAGTTCGCGCTGAAGGAGCGGCAACAGCCCTGGCAATCTGTAGAAGGACAGACAACATTACTGGCAGAAAAACATACATTTATAGACTTACATGTTTGGAGGTCTAGATGACAGGTTTATGAAAGGAAGTGCCTAAAATTTTACTTATATTAATTGAAAAACATGCCAAAAATGAGAACAGTTTGTATCATCACCCAGGACTATTCTTTCAAACTAAAGGTACCCTGAACCATGTCAGCTCTCACAAATAGATCAACAGCAGAATCCGAATGGAAGAATCCCAAGGGACACCTTGGTGGCTATGTAATATGGTCTTCCCATGCCACAGTACTTGGCTGACAGCACAGAATGGCATTAGATAACCACGACTGTGTATTGCTGATAAGATCAGTTTTGAGTTACAAATACACACAAAAATACCAGGAATTAATAAAAAATAGATTTTCTAAATAAGATGTGATAGCAAACTTAGTGCTGAAAGTTTTTTCCACCAAAAATTCAACTGATTCAGGCAGGGGAATTGATTTGCATTAGAAAATTCCATCAGAAACACCGAAGTGGAAGTTTTCATTCCAAATAGATATATAATATCATTTTCTGGCTTAAAAAAATTAATTAAAACCATTTTATATTGAAAAGTTGATTCCACACTGCATTTTTAGTCTATACAAATTCTATTCTAAACATTCTCACAGGCAACAGTTATCAGTATGTATTACATCAGTTACCAGTACTGTGCAGCAACTACCATCCATTTGTATTCAATGTTACTAGGATACAGCCATATGAAAATGCCTGGCATTAATACATTTTACAGGACTGGCTCATGAACAAAACTGAGTAGCCCAAACAGCAAAATTTCAAAATGGTACTGTTCTAAAATCCATCTATTTACAGAAATAGGCACCAAAAATAAGACAGTCAATTCTCATATTCAAATTAAATCCCTGTATTCTATTAAGAGATTGGGTCCCTTTAACATTTGATAAACCTTTCAGCTGGATAAACATTCTGCCAAAATGAACCATCCTGTCACACAAGGCATTAATAACAGTAACAAGCAAAAATCCTTCCCAGTTGTTCCACTGTAGATATGAGCCCATATTGACTTTTTATGTAAGTTAGATTTTGATGCACATTGTATAAGTTTATAGGATAAAACTAAGTGCAATCCTAATTTTATGTTTTGGTGCCTCTCATAACACCTCATGTCTGCTCTGACTCTTAGCAGTGGCACCATGGAAGAAAGTATGAATTATCACTGGCTATTGGACAGAAGCAAATGTAAGAAAACGATGCAAATGCTTGTTCACATCAGGCTTTGTCACTTTGGCCAGTTCATTTTAGTATCCTTAACAGAAAATTTAAGTGCAATATTTTAAGTCAGCTTTGATGTTACACAGCTTTTTAGCAAATTAGGTTATAAATAGAGTTTTTATCTGTTTGTATATAGTTCTGTCTGTATAAAGCTGTACATTAGATACTGAGGTGAATAAAATCACCTCTTCTCTGGCAAGCCTATTTCCAAAAAGCTGCTTCCTCTGATATCAGAGAAGAGGGAGGCAAGGAGAGCAAGGAAGGGGAAGGTCAAACATGCATTCTGTTAGTAGGTACAAAGTGAAGTGGTACATGACTCATCAGATAGGCACTCCAGAGTTAGGTATTTTTTCCCTGTCACATTTACTTCCTTTAAGAGCTTCTAGAGGTTTCTGTAGTATTCTGTCCTTACAGTTTTAGAAAGAAAATGGTATTAGGGCAAATAATTTATTTTTTCACCTCCAGCTTTCATGATCCGCTCAGTAAACATAACAATACAGCCCAAACTTTGGTACCCAACAGACTGGGATGCAGACTGGATGAGTGGCATCTACATTTCCACCTTCTGCCTGAGGAAGTAAAGCCTTGGGACTCCACCCTCCCTTCCAGAAAAGCTGATCCTGTCATCAGAAGTGCACACAGCTCGGGAAATCTTTAAAAGGGATTACATGAGCCTAAATCATACCTCCTATTGCCCACACTTGCAAACTAGAACAACAGCCCAAACTGAAGTTTTCCTCTTCCTTGAGCGTGCAAAGGCAAAATAGTCACACAGGGCAGCAGTCACTTCCCATTTCTCCCATCAGCATTAAACTGCTTTGTTCCCAGAAACCTGGAAACCTCCTCCAGCAACACCAATAGCAGGCTCAGCAATATTGGGAATGAAAAAGAATACATGGAAAAGAGTGGGCAACACCTTAATCTTGAAGGTCGGACAGGACAGTTTAGAAAAATCTAAAATGCCACAATATAAACACTGAATTGTATTTACGCAAGAAAATGCAACCAAAAGCAACAGGTACTGGACTCCTGCTAAAAGTTAGGGCACAGATACCACAAAAGAGATAACAGTGCTTTACTGCCAGTGATACTAATTTACAGTTATACCATAAATAATCTATTTTATACATTCATTGACATTTGTAAAATATATCCCGTCATCTCTGTGCTCCTTGCGTAAATGCACACTGTAACAGTTTGGATATTTATATTTGGATTAAGAATGTTACTGCTTAATGTGTAACTGAAATGATTAATATTTAAACAGTACATTTCATCCAGTTGTCAAGTTATTATTAAAGGCAACTTGCAAATATCCCATGTAAAAATGACAACTGAAGAGCTGGTGCTCACAGATGACTAAAATTTCTTTTCAAGCACTTAGCATTTTAAACTCAGCTATTTTCTTCTGGTTTTGTATTCTCTTAAATCACCCAGAGCTTTATATTACTTAGTGCACTTTTTTTCTTGGATTATGCAGAGACAATAGTGATACCATTCATATTGTCCACATTAAAGTATGTAGCTAAACAGGAATCATTCATCAAGGAACAAGATAAAGAAATTTTCCAAAGTTGGCACTTGGAACAGTGACCACATCTGTCTTCACTTACGTATTTTTAAATACCAGGAGATGATCTTTTAAGTGAGATACATTCAATCTGTGGCACTCTTTCTCCGTATCACAGCTGTTATGCTACTTCTCATTCTCAGCAAAAGGGGAATTATCAAAGGAACCTGAGGAATGTAAGTGGAAGGTTAGTGACGCACAATGTGTGGGGCCTCCTTCCCTTTTTGGCCCTTCCTGCAGTATTTACACCTGCTCAGCATACAATGGCTACACCAAGCAGAGGAGAAACAGAAGACTGTGTGACTGGAAGAACCAAGAGTTGCATCTTTAACTCAGATCTAAAAGTTTGCCATGGCTAAGTTCCATTAGTCCAAATGTGATCAACCCTAATCACAAACTGTGAAGCAGTCAGATATGTCCTTTCTTGCAAATCTTCAGATGCATAAGATAAATAGCTACTGCAAAGGTAATCCCATCCACTTCTGGGGAGTGAACTACTTGGTTGAAGTTGAGCATGCCCTTTAAATGCTAAGCATGTGTGTAAATCTTACCAGAATCGGGATTCTGGTCCTTATCAGACCTCACATGGTTAAGAAACAAACTAAATACGTTTTTGGTAATCTGAAAAATTATTATAAAAATAAATAATAAAACCAAAAGAAAAAGAACCTGAAGAGTCAACAAAAAGAAAGGTGGAAAAGGGAGGTAAGGAAACATAAGCTAATAATGTGACATTAAGTGCCTAAGACATGCAGTGCCTATGAGACACCAGTTAATGGCTTACACTGCAAAAAGATTTTGAGTGGTTAAGCAAAGGAGAAATCACAGAAATCATGGTAATCTTTGACCGAACATTTTACCAATTGTTGCTTTCTGTAGGCACAAAATGCCAAACAGGTCATAAAAAAATTCTGAAACTTGTCCTCCGGCACAATTATGACTGTAATGAACCACTTCCTTTTCACCTTTTGTGCCTACACAGGAGGCATAGCCCTTTCCCAAGCATTAGCCCTTTGCCAGTTATGCTCTTTGTGGATGCAAAAATCACATCTTTCTCAAGGCTTACTACTCAAAGTCCTTCTGTTTTAACAAAAGCAGATAAGCCCCCACAATTAGGCCCAAACCATTTGGCCATTTTAATAAAGGAAAACATTACCGATACAGAAACAAGAAGAAATCAGAGCCTCCAGTAATCTTTACAGACATAGACCATAGCAGCTAAAGATGGTGTAATGTGCCAGTGAAGCAGTGAAAAGTTGCACTCGTTAAAGTTCTGGCACAGTGAATATGCAGAATGAGGACCAGCAATGCTTTCCTGTATATTTATTCCCTGAACAGAAGGTGTGTAAATTAATTATTTTAAGATGACATTGATAGAAAGCCCTAATACTCCAAGAAGTTTTGGTTGGATGCATCCTGCTCTCACTACCATTACATGGACAGCAGACAGACACAAACATTGAAGCAAGTTGAAAGTCTTTGAAGAACTGCTGCTATGCTTTTTACATTTGGATAAAAGCTGGTGAAAGCTGCAGATCCTCACATGATCTCATTAAGCATTTAGCTAGAAATGACTAACAGACAAAGACTTTGTAAAATCTGGAAGAGAAATGTTAGACACGTTCATATCAACTTTTGACAAAAATACTATTTTAAAAACAGGGGTGCAATGGTACTTACCACATGGCAAAGAGTTATCCTCTTCTGCTGTCTTATTATAGACCCAATCCTCCTTTCTCCAGCGTATAACACCACTATCTTCACAGTCCTGAGACTGCTTTATATTTGCTTTATCCCACATTCTGAACATGTACAGCTCCCCGGTCATACCCAGGTTAGGTGACGTAGCTGTACCTGGCAGCTTTGAACAGCCAAGTAAGAACTGCCCTTTTCCAGGAAAAATAAGTTTCCCAGTTAGTTTTTTGTTTACTTTTTTTGTTCCATTTATGAATAGTTTCATCTCCTCATCTTCACTTTTCCACTGGATACATATTTGGTTCCAAGTATTTTCATGAAGTCTTGCTGTTGTATTTATTTGATTTCCAAACAACCATATCCTCAATTTACCATGATCTCCTGTAAGTCCAAGATCATACTTATTTCCAGAGAGATTGATGTGAGGTGTTTCTTGATTGTATACATATGCTGTCCAGGAACTATTTGAGGAATATAGCTTGAGGTGCACACAGACAATGAACTCCTTCAAGGGATGCAGAGAAATTCTTGGTGACATAAGCCAAGGATCTTCACATGGAGTCTTAAAGATGGCTTTATACTGTCCTAGGAAATCCTCCTGATCTAAATAAAGAAAAGGTGATTTGTAAAATTATTTTGTTTTTAAAAGGATCTTCTACATGAATGTTATTCTTCCATATAGTACTGTTCCTAAGCATTTACCTAGGAGTTTTCAAAACAACACATTAAGAAACAACCTTGTATCCTTCTCTTTTGCTTTTTTTTGTGGTGAGGAAGGGGCAAATTTGGAGGCAGTCAATAAATCCTAACTGCTCATGAAAGCTTTGAAGTAAAACTCATACACAAGATGAAGGACAACCATGTAGCTTTCTACGGTAGCACTCAAATGACAAGTGGGACGCAAAAAGAATCAGGCAAAAATCACAGATCCTGGTTTCTATTCCTAGGACTGCACAGGTATTTTGCATTTAATAGATACTGCATAAAATACAGAAACAGAGCTAGAAGAAGGGACTGTAGCCCTTACTGCCTTCTCATGTCCCAAGCCTTGCATCCTCCTTCTCTGAAAAAGATGATGCTTCTCCATGCCATTTTTTTCCAACCCCGAGATTCTTAAATCCTCTGCTGCATACTGGCAGAGTTTCAGCAAGAAAGGTAGAAAACAGCCATATTCTAGAAGAGAATGAGTTTAGGTAACTTTCAGGAAATGTGCTTTGGAGCCACTGGTTTATTTTAAAGTTAATCCCATCCAGCCCCCATTCCCTGTTCTCTACCAGTGCATTTACTTGCAGAAGACATCTGGTCTGCGCATCTCAAATCTACTTGAGATGGTGACAACTCAGAGTTCAGCTGTGACAGTAAACAGAATTTTAGGTGCTAACAGTAAATTTACTGGTGTAAACAAGGTGTCAGGCTCTGCCAATGCTGGTAAAACAAGTAGTGCCAGGGAACACCCCAAAGACTGGAACTTGATCCTAACTGTTTAGTTCTTATTGTCCCAATACAGGGAAGTACAGGCTTTTGTGGCTGTAGATGTAAGCCCTTTGGAGCTGACTCTTATTTTGTGGAAAAATGCACATTCCAATCGCACAATCATCATCACAATTGCTTGCTTTACGGTGCACCCATCAGGAACAAAAGAAATCCAAACTAAGGAAGACTCCTATGGGACATGAAATGGAACTACAGAAAAATGAAACAGCCTGCTAGATGCTTACCCAGTGCAAGAGAACACATTACTGACACCTTTCAGGAGGCTTTTATTTATTAATATATACAGAACTTTCATGTAACCTCCAGAGGAGGTATGTCATTAATCATGATTGGTCAGGGCTGGATAGCAAGAAAAGATCAGTCAATATAGGAAGAAAGCTTTTTCCGTTAGCTCCCCCATGAAAAGACAAATTTCCAGGCAACTTGGATCAGGTTTTTTTTTCCCCAAGGTAGGTTACATTCACAGTCCTAGTTAGCTGTCAAGATCACAGCTAGCTCTTCTGTGATCTTCTCAACCAACCAGAGCACCAGCTTTCATCAGGCCAATTCTGAATAAGGAATGTTCAACTTTTCTGTCTCTTGACTACAGGGCTCTCAAATTTCTTTTTCAGTAGCAGCAAATGAAAAACCGGAGGAAGTTCCTAACTTCCAAGTGCAGCTTGATAGGTACAAGCTACCAGAAAAAGTTCATAACACAAAATATATCAATCCAGTTTCATGGAAAGTCATTGATAACTATTCTTGTTGCATACTATAGCTTTGAGACGTCCATTCCTGACCAAAAATGTTAATCAAAACTTGAGGTACCATCAGCAGACTTGGTTTTGGAAGTGAACAAATTCTGACAAAGCTTTGATTTCATGTTAAGCATTAAATCAGCGTTCATGTGCCAATAGTGAATTAATCCTGTTAAGTTCTTTAGGGGAACTGACAATACAAAGTTGTCAAAGAAGCCAGAGTGGACATAAATGTGCAAATGAAAACAGTCTTAAGGCAGGTAACCAACAGAAATTAAGCAAAATGTGATCAATCCTGCTGATGATTCTCCTAGTCTGGTTTGTGTCATTCAAAAAGACTGCTGTTGATCAGTACACAAGGCCTGATGAATTAATTTAAACTAACAAAAGAGTTCACTTAGAGACATCCACCCTTCTGGAAACTGGAAGGTCTGGCCCACTTTGCCCTAAACAGCTCAAAAAAAAAAAAAAAAAAAAAAAAAAAAAAAAAAAGGTGCCAAAAAGTGGTGCCAAAGTTAAGAGAATAGATACCAATACTATCTGAATTATCACAAGAAAGGCTTGGAAAATTTTGTATGGTTTGTCTACCCAAAGAATGCTGAAAAAGCACAAAGGAAATCATAACCATAGTCAGAAAATGCCCTTCACTGTTCCAAGTGGAACACATGCAGTACAGTATGAAATTAATTATCAACATCATCTTGGTTAGGTCTGTTTGATACGTGGGTGGATGCAATGTAAGTAGGAGATGACATTACGTTAAAGCTTCTGGAAGTTCTATTAATCATCACTCATTTTCTCTAGCAATGGCACTTGTGGGCTGTGGCCTACCCTCAACCACAGCACCAAGGAGCTGGAATTGGCTGTGGCATTCCTGGCTTACAATTAGTTCCTTTGGATCCAGACAATACAAATCACATTCAGAAACCTAGCCACTAACATACCTTTATCACCACAGCACAGAAAAGGTAGTATAGTAGAAAGAATGCTCAAAATATCTCCAGAGTAAGAAAAATAAGCAAAAATCACCATTTGGAGTCAAGGAAACTCCATGCAATAGTAATTGTGGGCTGACTTTTCAATGTCATTTGCTGTGCTCAGGCACTTAACGTCTTTCGGAAATGCCATTTGTTCCTTCTTAATATATTTATCTCTAATAGATGCAAGAACTGGGGTTTTTACCCTCACTAAACTAAGAGCATCCACTTAATAAGCATGTTGTCTTAAGCCCTAAAAGAAATTCTGAAATGTATGCACTTACTTCCAAACATTTAAAATAAACATTCATAGAATGACAAGGTAATGCAAACATAAACCAAAAATGTAATCCCTTTTTCCAAACATTTTCAGATAGTAATAATTGATATCTTTACAAGAGATAGCCAGCCATAGGTAGTAAGAATTAGACATACAGGAGCAGATCCTCTCAGTATGTAAGCACCAGTGTTATTTTCCTTACATTACTAATAGCTACTGTATCAGTATAGTTGAGCATTAATACAGCTGAGTATTCTCAAATAAAAATAGTCACAAGTTGATGTGTTTGCACAATCTGGCTTTTAACCAGTAGCAACAACAGTCATTAATTTCTGTGTAAGTGTTTGCCACCTTTAACACATCTGGCTTGCTACAGTCCATCAAAATGACATCACAAGAACCTTGTACCCTAATGTATTCTGCCTAGAGCTCATAACTGTTCTTTATAAAAAGTTTAAAACCCCAAACTTTCTACATGCAGGTCGCTTGATTCTGCTGAATGTTTTGGAAATCTGAAGCTAAGAACTGTTTCCCCAAAATTCACATTTCATCCCTCCTTTTCATTCACAGTTGTATTTGGATAATATGCCACATTATCCAGAGTGCCCTAGACATCGGAAAGAACACAGGCAGTTCTTTTCATATTTCGTGGAGAACACAAACATACTTTGGCACCTTAGAGGAGGAGAGAACTGAGTAGAGTTGCTGCTGACAGTGCTAACAGCCTAAAAAACAAACAAACAAATAGGGTGGAGCCATAAATAAACCCTTGCATCCGTTTAGCTTTTCTTGAAGGATTACTGACACTTGCAAGTGATAATGTAGGTGAAAGCCAAAATCCCTCTTTGCTTGCTTCCTCAGAACTCTAGATGCAGTTGAATTTTCCTTGGAAAAACTCTTGTATGACATCCGCACATCTGCTGAGCAGCCCTGTCCTTTTTACTATTCAAAGTACATGAGGTTAAAATATCACCATTTTAGTTTTATCACCTGAATCTCAAATTCTGTCTCAATAAAAGTTTTATTTTATGAAAATTACTACATTTGGAGAATTAGAATCAGAATTAGTCTAGTCTGTAAACCTATGAAAGTTCATTGCTAGTACAATGTCATTAAGTAGGCATACTTACTAAGTACATTTGAACTGCAAGAAACTCTGATCTTCTAGAGTAAAATAACATGACACAACACAGGAAGCAGTTTCCAAAACTAGCCATTAAGTACATGGCAAAAAAACACTTTTAATTTTTTAATATTCCATGCACATTACTAACATGATGAATGTATTACACACTATTGATATAAGGAAGTTTTATGAATGACAAGCACCGTTATCTATGTCAGTTGAGATCCAGATTAGTGACAGACTTGTATCTGCCAGCTTACAGAATAGCCATGAATAAAACACAAATTGCTGATGCTACTGTACAAAAGCATCACAATGTCAGTTACCCAATTTGTACAAGAACCTTATGAATTTATTTTTCATTTACAGTTATATAAAGAGTATAGATTGTCAAATTCAAATACATAATTTCTGTTACATGTTTTAGACCTTACTATCTTTTCCCTAGCCATATTCAGATCCACAACCAAGAGCAATGCAGATGTTCTATGCTTGTACATGCACTGAATGAAGCTCAAAGGGTCTTGTGGTGTTTGTGTAAGAGCAGTGTAAAAGATTTAACAACACATTCTGAAAATGGTAACACTTCCAGTTCAAAAAAATAGCAAGCAACTAATTTGTCTTGTTATTACATATTGTGTTTACGTTCCCTCTTCATCCATAGACAAAAAGCGGTTACTACTGATGATTTTTTATGAAAACAAATACTGTAAACACAGGGTTTGTATACCAAAGTGCTAAGCACCAATTGTTTCATTTCTTGTTAATGGCAGCTTTTCCTCTTGATTTCAAGAGGGCAGAAACTTGCCTGTTCTGAGTATATTCAAAAGTCCTATTCATCAAGACTAATGCTATTTACTTGGAATACCAACACTAGATAAATCAGGAAAATACTGTCTTACCTTTGCCTGCTGTAGCCAGGAACAAATGAAGTAAAAGGACTGCTAGAACAATCCTGAATCTCAAGAAAATGTCCTGTATTCTGCCAACACAGCAGTGCTGTTTTCCCCAGGCAACCATCCTAGAATAAAAAATAAATAAAACACAGTGACTAGAAAAAGTGCAGGTGTGCAGATATTATGACAAATTACGTTTCCAACCCAAGAGTGTAAATCTTTTCAACCGTGTTATACTATTGGATATATATCGTACAGAAATGCACAAATACTCTGTATATTGCCAAGTCACCAAGAAAGAAAGAGCTGTTTGCTGAAAGTAAAAAAAACAAAACAAAAAAAAAACCACTCAAGCTTTAATTCTCCAGAGACTCACAAATACATCAGAGCATGGCCATGAGTCCTTGCACAAGTAAGTCTTTCAACATTTGAAAAACAAACAAATGACAACAAAAAAACCCCCCAAGCCAAAAGCAGCCAGTGAGCAAGCTTGGAGAGCTTATCCAAAAGCTTTGTTCATATCAGTAAGTATATAGAAAGCATCTCTTCAGCCCCCTACCCATAGGTTCTATCATCTGACATTTTAATAGCAACACTGTGAACTCCTAAGGAAGAAGCAAGAGTTTGATTACTGATCCTCATCTCATTCTCAAGGCAAGAAGCTACTGCAAAGAAATGAGAAATGCCACAAGACACTGTGGGCAGCAAGTTCATGGAGAGTATCATGAAAACTTGGTTTGTCCACATTTCATCCTAGTGATGGCTGCCCAATATGAACAATAGGACATGGTGGTGGAAAAAGAACATGTCTCCAACTGTAAGCGATAACATTCTATGAAACAATACACTTTTTAAAAAAGAGATCTTTTTAAAAAAGATACATCTTCTGAATATTTTGCATGCTGAAAGAAACAGTGAAACATTCATGTGCTTTTTGCATGCATCATTTCTTAAATAAAAAGGTTTAGAGATACACAGTTACAAGTGATTCTATAATTGATTCTTGAAACAAATGCAAAGCAGTAAACTTTGTGTATTGTTTATCTTTAATATATCAGCTTTATGGTAGACCAGAGCATTCTTCATGGCATCAGAAGTTTAACTTCACCATCACAAGTTTGGTGCATGTGTGAGTGTATTGGTTAGCCCTCATACTGCTCGCAGACTATTTTTGTACACGCTGTATCAGGCTGCAACAGGTTGCCTTCTTTTCAGGGACTGTACATTGTGAACTCTTTCAGGAGCTGTAAATTCGTGCTAAGGTTAAAATGTATTTTTTGCAAGCATTCACATTAATGTAAATATTTATTAGCATAAACCAGTTACTATGGGCTGAACTCTCCAAGAGAAGTGCTAGAGGAATAAACTGAGAAACAGTGAAGTTACTACGTAATTGCCATTTTGGAAACTGGTTAAATGTACATGCAAATAAATTATACACATATAATAACATAACACAGAAAACAAAGTAAAGGCTTTTTAAAAATTAGAGCACTGCAACATTGCTGCCACTGTTTTCAATAATTACACAGTAATTACACAAAAGCACAGAGCTTCTGCAGGAGAAGCTACTGCAATCTAACAGGTTGACCAAGACAAACACTGTGACAGGGAGCCTGCTGCAGAAGGACAGACAGAATAGAGGGATGAAGGTCAGTAACTTGACAGCAACTTACAAGAGCAGGCAAAGAAAACTGTTAAAACCAAGGCCTGTCAGGCTTTTACCGTGTTTAGTCAGGAGTACCCAGCTTTGTACATCTAAACGATGAGTAACACTATTTGAAGTGGATATTTTTAAAGCCCTTCAGCTAGCTAGTCTGTCACAGGTATCCACAGTGAATGGACTCTGAGGTGCCCCAGGAAACCGGGCTTGTGTTACAAATCCAGCTGGAAGGCAGAGGAGACGGGAGTCTGCGCCTCCACAACCAGGCTCAAGGGGGACTGCAGGGTGCAGCTCCACTCAAAGTGCAGCATGAGAAACCTGGACTGCTTTCCAAGGGTGCACCCACAGGTGACGTATCAAGAGAGAGGGCTTACCTTAAGCCACTGCTTGTCTTGTATTACAGCAGATATATTTTCAATAGGCTTAAAGCCAAAGAAAGTGCAAAACATAAAGGTAGGTGTTCTGTGCTGTAGTGCACTTCGTTAAATCACTTTCTGAAAAATATATTCAAATTTTGCCGTTCCTGTTGAATATATATACTTCCTGGTGGTCTTTAAAATTTAAAAAGCTACTAGTTCTCTTATGCCAAGTTTTAGCCAGAGCAGGTTCTCACTGCCGATACATAAACTGTTCGTAGCAGAAACTTACGTTGGAAATCATGACCTGAAGCAATCAATCATTTACTTCTAACCATGCTGTCTACTGCTGCGCTTCAAGCTCAAGTTCAAGTCACATCTATGTCATCCATATTTTTGGGGGCTCATTCTGCCTACTTTCGTAGTTATCACCTACTAAAATCTTGCATTTTAATAAAAATATTTCCCAAATCTATAGAATTTACTGCTGAGGAGGAGGGTAATAATGAATACTAAGCTTCTGGCCATTGTTCTTCTGTGACAGTCTGCATTATTCAAATCTATACCAGGTGATAAAAGGCAGAAAAGAGCAAGAGCAACATCATACTGGCCAGGTGTGAGAACTTGATGCCTTTAATTACTTTCAGAAACGTAAGACTGTAGACTTCTTCCATCAACTCCTTATATTTTCCAGACCGGAACCAAAACGTAGTAAGGTTTTTGTTATTTTTAAATTTTCACTGAAGCAAGTTAGATGTAATAGGGTGGACACTTATGTTGGAAAGTCTTACGTCACTGTGAATTTTGGCACATACAGTATTCACTGACTTAACAGCAGAAGTAGCACCATTGATTTAAAAATGTTGTTCCATGGGGGTTTTTTTAATGGGTTTTTCCAGAAGACAGTAATAGGATTATTATTGTCTGATAATGGCTTGTTTTTCATTAATTTTCTCCAGTGTTTATCAAAGGCTGTAAAAACAGGCATATTGTGTTCTACACATAGTCACTTTATGTAGAACACCAGCTTTTTCTAAGACTGCAATGGTGATGTGTGGAGCCACTTCAAGGACTTTCCAAACATATCCTCCTGACATAAATCTTTACTGTTTTCAAAGATATTAAATGTTGTACTTTTTAATAAGATGGCTTACAGAGAGCAACAAGCCACTTAGTTACAGGTATCAGTCTTCTGCAAAACTCAGAGCTCTTTGGTTCAGTTCTTAACAGAAATAAACAGGAGGAAAAATTCTCTGAGAAATCCATTCTTTTGTTTACTCATTCAACTGCTGCAGGATACTGGTATTAGAAAGATATTTTTTTTGGTTAACAAATACCAATCTGTGCAAGCCAAGGTCTGCCTTCAGTTCAACTCATAGATCTCCCCTTACATTCATGTAAAAGTGTAAGCTTAATCATTAAGATTTGTATAAGTCGATTAATGAGTGTAATATGCCATTGGATGGCTCTCCACTACAATTTCAAGCAAGTTTTTGTTCCCTCATACCCAGTTTGGCAATGTTTCACTTCTCATATCCAGCCGTCACCTGGGAGATGAGCTCTTATAAAAGTTCTACACTATCCAGGAAATCCTCTTCTGCGTTGTGTATTCCCTTGAGACAACAGTATTATCCACGCTCTCTATTCAATCTCCTAAAGCAAACTAAAAAGCCTTTCAGTGATAATACCCGAGCAGGTTTCTACTTCAAAGAGTTTACAAAGTACTGATGAAGCATAAGAAGCAGAGAGGTAATAAAGTAGTTACGTTTGTCACAAGTCTGGTTACTTCAACTAGAGGGAGGTTATTTATATTTTCATTAATAACACTTTGGGGTATAGAGGTATATAGGTTTCAGGGTGGGGGGAATAACAAAAAAAGTGTTCTGCAGAGTAGAAAAGAAGTACAACAAAGACTACATTGAGTTGGCACATAGCAAAAGGTTAAAGGAATGCTAGACCTGCACCTTGAGCCATGTAAAAGGGATGAGGAAAGGTGTACAAAGATATAAGCACAGAGAAGTAGACAAATACAAAGTTTTGCAAAACCTTTATATTCAGCAAGAGGACTTGAATTTGATGCAGAGAGAAAGAGGGAAGGACAAAGACTTTTCTGAAGCTGGAATATTCAAACCAGTGAACAATGTAAGCAGGCTTTAAGGAATCAAGCAAGGGCCAGGCACACCAGAAAGATGACTGTTCAGCTCATGCTTTCAATTTCCCTCCTTTTCAAAAATGAGACCTGAAAGTTTATTTTATCTTACTTAAGGAAGGAGGGCGGGGGGGAATAGTTGTTTCTACTTAGTTTACACCCTCCTTTCTCCACTCCCCTTTCCATACTCTCTTGGCTTGAACAGCAGCACCCTAAAAAAAGAAATTATATTGCGATTTCATCCTAAGCTTCTCTTTATGGACTTAACAGGTCTCTTGGATCTTGCTCTTGGAGCCGTTAACATTTCTCTGGAAGCTACGAAGCACAATACTTGGTGAAGGTTTTTTGTTTGGTAGGGTTTTTTGGTTTGTTTTGTTTTTTTTCTTTTAAACAATGCCTCAGGCTGTTTTAATCAACAGCCCAATGACCAAAACTAATAGTTTGTACCAAAGAAATAAAGCTCATCAGTTTTGACAGATGGATGCACTGAAGCAAGCATCTTCCAGAGTCCCACTACAACTCTGATTAGGAATATGGCATCACTACCCTACACAGCCTAAGGAAATACAGTGGCACCTCAGTCTTCACATGGGGTAAATATTTAGGGGTCCTCTATTAAGACATTCTAGGAAACAGTGTTATGCCAGAACAGTGTTCTGGGCCTCTTTTAGCACTGGTCCTTCTTAGGATACAAAGTCTATGGAGCACAATGGAAAGGAGATGGTACCACTGCCAGAACAAGCCCCATAATCAGTTGTTAGGAAAAGGGGAGGCAAAGTTCCAACTGGATCCCACGTTAGACTAAAACAACTGCAACAAGTCAGTCAATAGCAATCATTCTTAAATACTTGGAGGTCATCACACAAGACAGTAGGTGACTTCAAAGCAACTTCAGAGTAATTTATTTAAACCAGCACCACTTCTGTGTGCAGCCCCATGAACATATGAGCTCAGAA